TTCTGAAAGATAGGAGATAGCTGGGATTTGATTCTTATGTTTTCAGACTTGAATTTGATACTGTTTTCTTTCAAACATCTTTCCTTTCTCTACTGGTTACTATTAATGGAAAAAGAACTGTCTTTACTTGAAGCTTACCATTTGGCAAGATAATTAAAATTTTTCACCTTTGTGTGTGTGTTCCAACCCAGTATCTTGTACACTCATAATTTAAATTCTTAATTTGAGGAGCCCTTAAGTGATTTTACTTATGCTTAACTGAATTTTAGATATTCCGTAAACAATAAACAATTCTCCACTTAATAAAGTCCAAGAACCAACAGCTGTCAGCTGAAAGAGCCCTAGAGCCATGTCACTCTGTGAATCTATAGCAGTGTCATCTGGGAGCCTATTAGAAATGCAGGGTTTCAGAACTCACCCTAGACTTGCTCAATCAGGGTCTACATAAAATGCTAGTGACTTGGACATTGATGTTTGAACAGTATCTAAAACATTAGGTCACTTTAAAATACCAATTGATTGATTAAATGGCCCAAACCTTCTGCTAGGTGGAGGGAATTTAAAGATAAATTATGAGTGGGTTCTACTTGTTGGAACTTCAGTTCAACTAGGAGAGAATGACCATATATATACATAAATGCAATCAAGTATTACAGATGCTCTAGATGACTATAGAACTGCATACGAGGCACAAAAGGGGCTGCTCCCTAATTCTCTGTGTGCGTGTGTAGGATTACATGGACATTTGGTGAAGAACAAAATGGATGATGCTTTTTGTTAAACCATTGTAAATGAATCCAGACTTCATTGATGATCTAAGTTCATTTATTCTCTTAGGTTTTTCCACTTGAATCACACATGACCAGTAATTTATCACCTTTGCTGGTAAATTCTTGTTATTTTTTCCCCTCTGATGGGGACCTTTATTTCATGAAGGGGTAAGCAAGCTCTGCGTTCAAGTAGATGCTTTTCATATATGCCCAACCCATGTTACAACCCTAGTACCTTGCTCAGCAGTAATGCAGCTGCTACCAGGTAGCCATATCTGCCTCTCAGTGGCACTATCTTTTTACCTCTAGACTAGAAAAGATAGCTTTAGCAAGTACACATAGCTGGTTCTTGGTAGCTTTTCCCTACTCCTTTTTCAAGTTAATGGTATGCATAGCAGGCTATTTTGGGAAGTAAGCTGGCGTAAGGTAGTGTTTAGAAATCAGGGATATAATACTTTCATTCGCCCAACTTACCCTTTAATTGCTTCATGTGCTTCCTCTGGCACAAAGAAGAAACCCTTTGAATATTAGCTGAATGGTTTGCAATCCTTGCTTGTGTCCAAGGCAAAGTGAAGATCCATTTCCAGCTCTGTATTTCACTAACTGTGCAACCTTGAGTAAACTGTTTTACCCTGTAGTTGAGGGATAAAGGTATTTTGCGTGTGTGTGGGCTTTGGATGCTGGCAAAAAGGGTAGGGAGGGAAGTAGGTTTGTAAGCATGTGTCTGTGACCACACCACTTCTTCTAAGACCAGATCTTTCTATTTTAGATTTTATGTATCACTGGACCGCCCCAACTGCCTCATGGTGTGTTCCTTTTGGCTTGCCTGTTTGATTTTTCAATGCTCCTGTAATCCACAGGCTCTTGGAGTTACCTTTGAATTTCCCTGGCAAGCAGAGAGGGTGGGGAATGCACTAATGTGAGATCTACAGCCTATCATTACTAGTTGAGAGGTAGTGCAGCTGATTCTGAACTCTAGGGGGGTTGCCACCTAAACTTCTGAGCCAGATCTTTTAAAAAAATCTGCTGGAGTGAGAATGATCCCTCTCAGCTGTACACACACACACACACACACACACACACACACACACACACAATTTTGTTCTTTACATTTTGCCATCTTCCTTAAACATGGAAATTTTGCCTTCTCTCTTGAGCTGAACATGTTCTTACTGAAACTTAAAGGCATTTTCCTTTGTTACAAAATGATGAGCTGTAAGAATTCTCACAAAAGTTCTTAGCCTGATTTAAGATTCATTATTAAGAGTTTTTTCACCCAACTATGTTGACTAGTTAAATTTCTTTCCAAAGGAGCCGTTTTCTGTCCCTTTATCATGTGTGTTCTGAACATTTACCCATTCTTCCACTTAATTTTAAAATGTGAGCTCCACCCTACAGGATACATCAAGAAGCCTATGATGGTAGAGCTTGAAGAACTGAAAACTTTGGTCTAGCTTAGTAACTGATCAAAAAAAAAAAGCAGAGAATTACTATGAAGTTATCACTAGGGCTTTTAAAAATCTGCCAAATCTTAACTAAAATAAACAGCCTAGATTTGTGAGTTGTTTTTTTTTTTCAGGTTTTTTCTTAGAAAACACATTCCATGCCCCTTCTCTGTTCCTTTTCACCCTTCTGGGACTGCCATCAACCTGTGCTCCCTATGCATTTAATTTCTGGAACAGAAGTATAGTCAAGAAGGGTTTGGTTGGAAGGGACATCAGAGAAAGGCAGCTGTACTTTTTATTCTTTGAGAATTTGGATTGTTCATGTGACTTTTTAAGGCCTCTGTTTCTACCTTTATATATGATGTTCAATATTTTGTTCAGTTCTGATACTATTCAGTGCTGTGACAATTCTCTGTGACAAAACAGAATATGGTGAAGTACAAGAAGGTGCTCAGAGATTCTCCTTTAAATTGGGTATGAAGAAACTTGAGTCCAGATTGAAGATTTGAACCTAAAAATTAGTATTTGAAAAGGAATTTGGTACTCAAGTCTTCATCAGCATCTTTTGCTTATCACTTAAGATCTCATAGTGAACATTCTTCTGGTATGTTATGACTTCTAAAGGCAGAAGAGAACTGAACTTGGTGACAAGTAAAAACTCCTTTTTACTTAATAGGTGTTAAATATTTTTTAGTATTATGTTGACCAAATCAAGGTCAAATTAGTTTCTCAATCCTGACTGCACATTAGAATCTCGGGTTTTAAAGGAATGCTGGCATGCGCCCCTCTCCATTCCCTTTCTCTCATCCCTAAGATTCTGATTAAAGGGAAGTGAGGGGGAGTTTGGGCATCAGTATTTTTAGGTGTGCTTCCCTACAGATTCTAGTATGTAACCAATGTTTGGATTATTGGAGTTAACAAAGGTGTATGAGCCGTATCATCCTGACAAGGCCATGCATGGGCAGAGTGTGTCTCTAGATGTGCACAGCCAGAAGGGGAAGAAAAGTAAAAATATTTCTGTACGACATAAGTCATTTAACCTTTCTATGGGTTCTAGAATAGGGATAATGTGGTGCTTTGCTTAAATGAAGTGTTCTCAAAGTGTGGTCCCAGGACAAATAGCATTGGCATCATCTGGGGACTTATTAGAAATGCACATTATCTGGCCCCACCCTAGACCTACTGAATCAGGACCTGCGGGGGTGCAACCTAGAAATCTGTGTTTTAACAGGACCTTTCAGAGTTCCTGATTCACTTTAAAGTTTGAGAGCCATCAAAAGAGAATTGTAATGCTCAGAGATAGCCTCTGAAAATCTTAGCATACTGCTTGGTGCACAGTGACAGTCCAGAAAAGCAGAACACTCTAAAGAAAATGTGTTTGGCTGCTTGGTTATGTGTAGGACCTAGATTTAACAACTGTTAACTACTCTTGCAACTCAAGGACTATTTACTTATAAAGCAAATGGAGCCCAAGTGAATCATCTCAAAGATGTATCAGAAAAACCAATCAAGACACCATCCTTCCACTGTGCAATTTAGACTCATCTTCTGAAGACCTAAGTTGTGATGCATGCTACTATCCAAAAGGAACTCCCTGAGTGGCAGAGACGGCTGCCCTACCACTAAGGGCTGCATAGCTGGGATGCAAGCAAAAGCTGCTTATCCATAAAGAGCGGAGATTGTTTGCCTAAGACATGGAAAATTCTGTTTTTGAAGGGAAAAGGAGAAATAGAAAATCTTAAAAAAATAAAAAAGAGATGATTCCTTTTCCCAGCAGAATTTCTTGTAGAGAGTATTTATAAGGATTTCATAGCAGGAACACATGGGGCTCTTGGGTACGCATCTGCCCCACAGGTCTTAGAGATTAGGTGCACCCTTCTCAGAATTCTCACGTCAGTGTGCTGTTGCTGGGGTTTCTTGATATGCCAAACTCATTGTTTCTCCCTGTTTTGTGTATCAGATGTTTCTTATTCTAGTTTCTCCTAATCTGTCTTGCATGTACTTTTGGATTAGTCTTCAGCAAATCATATTGTAACCAAGTGTTCCTTTCTCAGAAATGCTTGCTAGAGCCCCACTGCATGCATGATGAAAGTTATACTGCTGGCTAGGCATGTTAGCTTCTCATGAAAAGCTTATTTTCACCATTGCTCTTATTTTTAATATAACCCACGGATATTATTTAGCATCCCTATGTTTATGCTATATTGTAACTTGCTCTTTATTCTGTAGGCCCTGAATTTTTTGACCTGTCTTTATTCTTTTGCCTCTCTGCCTAGAGTGGACTTGCTGTCTACATTGTAATTTTCAGGGGTAATTAAATGCTCCAGTAAAGCCTTCCTTGTTCTTCCACCTGTACATAAACTTTCCTATACCTTAACTTCCAGAGGAGTTTGTCCATTTTAATACATCTCATCTTGTATTATTCTTACTTGAATATACACCTTTTCCTCTCTACTTGATTGAAACTTGATTGAGGTTAGATACCAAATCTGATAGACCTCAGTAATCTACCACCCAAGCACCTTCCTTGTTCCGGACAAGTGTACTCAGCCTTCTCGACTAGCGTTTCTGTCACTTCAAAGTATCAAATCTGGCCCTCAGTCTTCTGATAGTTAAGGCTACTAATTAAATGGAGAACTAAAATAGGAAATCATTGCTGAACCAGACAAGAAATTATGTGTCAAAGCCAATTACAAAGAAGTAAAATGCTAACAAATACATGTTTTTTAAGAGTACTGTAAAATTTCTTGCCTATTAACTTCCTTTGTGTATTTCCTTTCCATAGGTGATTTTCTTCCACCCCCACCTCCACCTCTAGATGATCCCATTGCCCTTCCATCTGGCTCTGGAAACTTCCCTCCTCCACCACCCCTTGATGAAGGTGCTTTCAGGGCACAGGTAAGATTTGAGGTTGAAGTCATGTTTATTAGCAATGCTAGGAAGCTCATGAATTCAGTGTTTGTTTCTGTGGTGGATAAACATTTATCCAGAGCCAAAAAGAGAGCTTCACAACTCACAAAGAGCTAAGGTACTTTAATGCAAAATGTCCAACTCAAGCTTCTCAGTGTTCTGCTGGCTTGCCCTCTGAAGCCCTGGAAATCCTTTTACCTACTAATTTTGTTTCCAAACTGAAACCCATTTTTTAGGAAAGCTATTTGAGAAATCCACATTTTCTTGTTATCCTGAGGACACACAACTGTACTTTTTTGTTGCCCTTTTCTCTGTTCGCAGACATTGCATTCTACATGAGTAAGGCTGATACCTTAAGGCTCTGGTTGATTACTGTGAGTCCTAATTGGTCAGTAACATCTAGCAAAAGCAACAACTAACATCTTCAGGGATTTTTCTTCTGAGGTCAAGGATGCACATTATAGTATACATTGATTATGGACAACTGTGGTGCTCTAATGAGTGTTGATTACAAAGTAACTCCCAGCTAAAGCCAGAGCCACATTAGACATAGTTCTTGGCCTGTGATCACATAGGAACACTGGTGACCCACTGCCACCATTTAGGCAGCTAAATGCCATTTCAGACAGGAAAACTAACAAAGTCATAGAATTGTTGTAGTGTTTTACTGGTGATGGTGTTATTACAGATATGTTGAAGACAAAAAAAAACAACAAAAACAAACAGTCCTTACCTTTTAGAGAAATGTCAGCAATATTTGTGGATGAAGTAGAATAGTTCCTGGTATTTGTTTCAAAATTATGAGAGTAGGGAGCTACTGAGTGAGGAGATAGTGAAACAAGATCAGTTATGAGTTGATAATTGTTGGATGTATAGAGGCTCATTTTATTATCCAGTCTACCCTTATATATACTTAGTATTTCCCATGATACGTTACAAAGAGGAAAATCCACAGGAAATAACTGCTTAAGTGGTTCAGTCCATTTCTGGCTTTCTTTCTCCTGAATTTCAAGTTGGAGGAGACAAGGAAAGAAATGATTCATTCAGCAAATATTGTGTGTGCCTGTGTGTGTGCCCTTTGGGAGCTAGGAATTTTATAGCAAAAAAGGCAGGATTGTGCCCTCATGAAATATGTTAGTGAAACTAGTGGAACTAAACAAAACACATACCTTACAAAGTACATTGGAATGAGATCAGTGTTGAGGGTCGGGAAAGGGAGATGGATGTGGCTTATCTAGGGCTGGCGTGGTCAAGAAGGCCTCTGACCTAAACAAAGACATGGAGGTGAAGAGGGGGAAATGAGTCATGTGGAGTTCTTGGGGACTGTATTTTCATAGAGTAGATCTTTAGTAATAGACAAAGCTTTTTATATTATTGATCTGTTGAAATTAGTGAGTTCCAGTTATAACCAGTGAGATCCATCCAATTGAACTGGAGACTAGGTCTTTAAAGGCTATAAAAACATTTTATGTCCTAGGCATTTATGTTACATATTTCCCACATTTTATCTATCTATAAGCTAATAAAATCAAAGAGTAGGTGCCAGTAATGGACAGGAGTCCTACAAAGTTTATATTTATTTTATGCAACAGACAGAACCCTTGGCAAATAAAAATAATGATTGATTTTCCTTATTTTTAGTCTTTTTTTAAATTAACAATGAAAAAAATAATACCTTTAAGCCTGCCTTTTATATACATTTGCTTTTATTTTGTTGGGATTGATTCTTTGCATATTATTTATTGTAGGGACATAATTAAAAACTTAGTCTATTTGCTCTCATGGGTTGTTATGAAAACTACTTCATTGTATTTGCAATCTTTAGTTCTAAAAAGTTTGTTTGACCTCATGATAGAAGACTCATATTTGAATACTAGTTGAGCAAGCTTATTCTAGCTGGGCCATTTTGAGCAGGTCACAGTAAATCCCAGTTTTCTCATAATTAAAAATAGGGTACTGTATCTATTTCTAATAATTAAATGAAATACAGATCTATTTAAAATGGCTACATAGATATTTTGATGTTGCAATTATTAATGTATAAAAATAACAGTGAGAATAATAAGAAGGCTTCATCCAAGGGTTTCATTTCATTAAAAATCATTCAAGTATGGGGCTTTCACACACAGTTACCGTCTTTTTCTATATGAGCGTTGTCCTTGTAACTAAACTGAAACCATGACTTTGTTTTTGAAAAGGAAGGAAATAAACAAAAAACCTGTTGCCATGTTGGTTTATGTTCTCTGCAAAACAGAAGAAAGATGGATAAAAAATAAAATAGAGCTTGCCAAATGGAAAAGGACAAATCTGGTAGGAGAATCATGTTATTCTTGAATATACAGAAGTTGTTGGCAAGTTCAAAAGAGAAAAGGCATGCCCTCCCCTGTGTGGTGGTGATGAGATGTGACAGTGGCTTGGTCCTTCTCTGGTCATATTTGCACCACCTTTAGATACAAACTATAATGGAGCCTAAAGTAATATAATCATTGGAGACAATTTTGCACTTTTTCCTCTAAGCCATGGTAAAACCTCATGCTGCTGAGTCCAAATTATAGCTGGTAAATGTGTGTTTTTATGTAGATGTCTGTTTATGTTTCCAGCCAAATTTTCAGGTCAGAGCCAAAGAATGTCTACTAAGTACAACTATAAGAACTGTAAGATTTTCAGAGCTTGGAGATCACTTAGACCATCCCTGGTGCCAGGCATCTAGTTATAACCTTTTCAAGTACTTGCTAAGTGAATTAATTCCCTTTCTTTGCAAACAGGGAAATTGAGACCCAAGCAGGTATGAATCCTGTAGTTTCTGACTCTTACTGAATGTGAGAAATGTTGACTTCTGGATTTGTCTTTCTTCTGCTGTACTGGATGGCCTGTGCACATGGTTTCTCTTTAATCCTCCATCAGCCTGTTAGGCACTGAGGCTCAGAGGAGGGGTTACATGCTTTTATTGGAAGGACCAGGTATGCTGGAGTTTGCTGGGCTTTGCATTTTTTGCATGTGCTGTACATTTTTTTTTTCTTGGCAACAGGCAAATAAACATTTAGTGTCAAGAATTCTTGTTTTAAGAATTTTCATATTTATGGGAAAAATGCATCTTGGAAAACAAGTTAGGTCTTTATCTTTTCTGTCAGTATCATTTGAGCTCAGTGCCTATGAGGTTTTGAGTGACCATTTAGAAGTCATTTCATTCATTCCTCGCTCTTCATTCACTCTAAGTTTAGTACCTTCTATAATTCAGGCACATATATGGGGGGTTATAGCTTTCAAACTTGGCATCCTGGGTCTAGTGCACCGAATCTCAGCCTTAGGACCGCCAACTTTGTTCTGACCTGATGCCACAGTGGTAATTTCTTCCAACTTCAGCCAATTGATGAGCAGGTATATAGCACTGCTTAGAGTAGTTTCAAAAGGGGAATAATATAATAATTATAGAATTTCAGGTTTGCAAGGAGATTAAAGATCATAATTCATAATTCAGGTTGTTTTTGGTAGAATCTCCTTTTTTTTGTCTATTTTACAAAATATGTATGGGTGACTATTATCAGCGAGGCAACGTTGCAGGATAAGGAGATGGCTCACATGCATGACCTCTGAATCAAGTTGAAAGATGTGTATATATATGCGTCTTAAAGTGTTCAATGGCAAATTATGCCCTAGTCATCATGCTTTGATCAGAAGCACAATCTTAAGTCCCATGTTATGGTACCAGGTAGGGGAAATCAATTAACTATGGAGATCTACAAGAAGAATTCTTGGAAACAATTTCAGTTGAACTGAACTTTGAGGGCTGGGTAGAACCTTAATTTTCATATGAGGGGATGGAATTTTCAGCAATAAAGTAACAAGAAACAGAGGAAGGAAAACACAAAATAGGTGTGCTAGGCATGCATTTCTGGCTGTGGATTTTGAAATCATTTTCAATTTTTTTTCAATGATTTATTCTGAAATCATTGACAATTTATTGCAGATGTTTGTTATTATTTTAACTATAAGGGTGGCATCCCCAGACCTGCAGTTGGCTGCCACGTGGCACTCTTAACATACCAGAAGGCGAAACGTGTTGTGGGAAACCCCATGCAAACAACTCTGAGTTGTCTGGTAGACTTCCTTGAGCTCCTCTGGGACTTAGCTGCTGACACCTGATGGCTTTGAGTTCAGGTGCCCGAAATGTAACTTCCTCTTTTTGTGACATCTTTGCTTGACTTTTCTTTGTGACTCCCTGTTGGTAACTCCTGATCTGCCCTCTCCACTGTGGCTCAGTCCTGTGGCCTGCTTTTCTTCACATGCTCTCCAGTGACTGCACACTTCAGTTTCCATCTCTCCTTTCCACTCATCCAGGCCGCATGGCACGTTTGCTGCTGTGACCCAGGCCCTCCACCTCAGAGAACAGACCATTGTGTCCATCCCTGTTTACTCCAAGAGTCAAAAACTTATTTCTCTTCTGAACTGAAATTCATCCCCTTGTGATTTCTTCACAATGACTTTCTTCCTACCCTCCTAGAAAATGATGTACATTCAGATGAACTTCAGGACAGGAGAGCAAGAGGTGATTGATGTCTGCCCCAAGGGGTTGATCAGTAAAGCTACTGAAAGAGGTAACTTTTCTGAAGAGTAGATGAGAACAGTGTAATGTGAGCCATACACTCAACTTGGGGAAATGCCCAGAGTTAGTTAAAAAGGGAAGGAAGAAGAGAAACCTCTGAAATCATTAATGGTCTAGTCTTAAAGTCAGTCTCAAAACTTTGTAGGCCAACTCATTTCTATTCTTGTGAAAACAACTTCAAAGCTCATATATGTGTATGGTGAAGGGCAGATTATAGTCATATATACACTTATTCATTTTATGTATTTACCAACAATAATTTTAAAATCTATTGTGGTTTTAGCAGAACTGGTGCTAGAATCTGTGTCTGGTAACCCTTAATCTAATACTATCATGGTCACAGGTGTGGAGTGACAGAAATTTGCTTGTAGACAGAGAGAGCTCT